TCTCCAAATATCAGTATCAACTCACCAAATCGATCTCACCCCCATTAAAATTCAACCCGGCTGCATCGTAAAGACTGCCTACGTATCCTCTTGCCCAAGGAATCAAGCCGAACGTAGTTCACCCAAATGGCCTCCAAAGGCCTCAATCCACTAGAAGAGTTCGCAACCCTTCTCCAACATCACGATCAAGTCTGCGACTGATAGCACCTCCAATGGCCTCAAACACCTCAACCTGAGGTGAACCAATGACCATATTCAAGCTACATCTATCAGCTGCACTCGAATCAAAACCCAACTCATCATCTGCATCCGAATCCAAATGACTTCCACGCTGTGTCACCTCAGCTGGAATCCCAACCAATGCAGAATGATCTGGAGTAATCTTTACCCAATGTGGAGTAGCATCACTCTCCACCCGCTGTGATACCTCTAAGGTCTGTCCAAAACTCTTCACCTGCTGAGAGTCAATTGGCTTCCTAGGATGACCCAAATATGTCGAAACCTCTGTCCAGAAACTCTTCTGCAAACCATTGCTCGACCACAAACACCGATCCTCCTCCAGCAAGGCACGGTTCTCCAAATTTGTCACCTTATCTAGTTGCCCCAAGATTTCCTTTCCAACGAAGTGTCTCGAAATACCGTGAGCTCGGCTCTAATACAGAAATAGGTCCATCTTGTACCTCCCACCAGAATGGAGTACCTTCACCTTTCTGTCTGTCACACACTTCTTCAATCTGTTGGAAACTACTAGGACTTTCTCCAAAGGGGATTTGGTTGCAACCCAAACACGCCTAGAACAGCCACCAACAAAGGAAACCAAACGCCTATTACCTCCCAATGATGCCCCCTTGGAAGGCCCCCAAACATCCACGTGAACTCCTCCAGAACGACCCTTAGCACGGTGAATAGAGGTGCCACACTTCACCTCGGTCTTCTTGCTCACATCAACATGTTCACTGGACTTCAAACTGCAGGTCTTTGCACCCTCTTTCAATCTATGCGAGGAATCAATACTGGAATGGCCAAGCCCCAAATGCCGCAGTCTAGTCGAATCAACAGAAGTCGTCAGCTCTCCACCTGCCACTATACCTCCAGTCAAGTAATACAGGTTATTTCTCCTGACGCCCTTCATCAAAATACGAGAGTCTCTCGCAATCTCGAGAACCATGTCCTCAACACGAACCTTCAGACCCTCTCCAACCAAAGCTCCAATCGAGATCAAGTTCTTCCTCAAAGAAGGAACATATCTCACATCGTTTAACTCTCTAACAGTCCCGTCAAACATCTTTATGCGAATTCTTCCTATCCCAAGGATCTGGCATGCACGGTTATCAGCCATGTACACCACACCACTATCCACCAGCTTCTCAAAACTGGAGAACCATTCCCTTCTAGGGCACACATGATAGGTCGCACCACTATCCAACATCCATTCAGATTCCTCCGAATAGCTATCTGTAGGACTGATAGAAAGCGAATAAATAGAAGAGTCAGAATTATTACCATCCGATACGATGTTTGCTTCTGATGATGGTTGCTTCCCTTTTCCCTTCTGCTTATTCTTCATCCATTCGTCGAGCTTTGGGCAGTCTTTCTTTCAATGACCAGTCTCCTTGCACCAAGCACACTGATCTTTTCCAATTGTAGGATGTCCTACTCTAGACTGTGACTTCCAATTCTTCCGGTTCGGATTCTTCCCTCTTGCGACCAACGCTTCTGCTACCTGCTCAGTCGAATTCTCTTTATCCTTCTTCCGAAGCTGATAATTCACCAATGCAGCAGTGACCTCACTATACGAAAGTGATGCCTTCCCATTAATCAGAGTAAGAACGAATGTCTCATATTCCTCGTCGGGCAAGGAACTCAACAACAGCAACGCCTTGTCCTCATCTTCAATCTTGACATCCACATTCGCCAAATCCGCAAGAAGCTTTGTGTAGTGGTTCATGTGATCTCTAATGGAGGTTCCCTTCTTCAACTGGAAACGATAAAGTCTCCTCTTCAAATGCAAGCGATTTTCCACACTCTTGGTCAAATACTTGCTTTCGAGAATCTCCCAAATCTTCTTCGCAGAAGTCTCATTCATCACATCATATTTTAGATCTTGAGTCAAACAAGACCTAATCACACCACACGCCGTTCGATTCATCTTTTTCCAAACCTTCTCTTCAATCTCATCTGGCTTGCCATCTAACTCCAATGTATCCTCCAAATTCTGCGCGTTCAGCGCATCTAAAACCTCACATCTCCATAATCCAAAATTGTTTGTGCCATTAAATTTCTCCACATCTATCTTCATAGAGTGGATATTCAAACTCTGAATGGTCTTTGCGCCAGAAGAACCACCCTCGACACCCGAAGCACCTTCTTTCCCCGACATCTTACGCACCAACGAATAGAGAATAGATCCAAAACTGAAAGATAGAGTCTTTACCAAAAGATCCCACCTTTATCACCAACGAAGTCCTAAACGGGCCTCCAAATTGATCTACTCCTCCAACCAAACCCTAGATCTGGAATCTGGGCTCTGATACCACTTGTTGTGCGCAGCGGAAATTTCGGCAGAGTTTCTGGTGCACAATAAGAGAGAAAGATCGATAAGAATTCTTGTTTCTCAAAGGGAACAAGAATCTGAAAGCCTCTTCCTCTCGTCAGCTCTAGGACTGCGTGTCGAGGGATCCTAAAACTATTACAATGGCCACAAACTCAAACAAACCAATTTTACGTGGTTCGGCAAACTGCCTACGTCCACGGGGCAAGGAGGGGGGATCTACTATTAGAGAGAAAAAGAATACAAATGGGTTTACAATTTTCACAATTTAAACCCTCAAATAACTCTCAAATCTCTCACAAAACAGCCACCAAATAGGATTTTTTTCTCCTCTGCACGAAGCCCAAGAAGAACTCAGCCGCCTTTTTCTCTTTCTCTCCTCTGCCTCCTTTTCACCTTTGCAGCCGTACCCTAATTAGCCGTCACCCCTCAATTCCTGCACTTGCACCGAAACCTAGGAACAAAATTGTTCCTATATATAGCCTGGCCCCTTCACGTGTTCACGAGGAAAAAAAAACCGCTGGACTTCTCCCACGAACAAAGTCGTGGCCCCCGCAATCAAGTCCCCTCACGCGGTTTTGATGTCCGCGTTCACACGTCTTTCCTCCGCTCAATTCACGTGAGCGTGGCCCCACTAATCTCACGGCTTCACAATTCTCCACCTCGGTGAAGTTTCCTCAAAACTGAGCCGACACCAACCAAAACAAATGCCTCACTTGTTGTGTCCAGTACACCGTGAAATAATTCAAATTAAGGGTGTAAAACTTGTAAATTTAGAAGGCTTTAGAATATAAATTTTCACAATCTTATGGACTCTGCATGCATCCGCCCCTGCACATACATGCATACATGCATACATGTATGCACTCTGAGTATTATTTATGATACTGGTTGTTTCCTCTATGGTGAGAATAATAATGTGCTAATAGCTGAAGCTGTGGGGCTCCTAGGAGATTGGCAAATGATGGTAAAAAAATAACTTCTTTCTCAAAGTTATTAAAGAGCCTGCAATTATAGGTCTTTCCATCGACTTCAACGGGCGTTACATGTTCGTATCTGTTATTGTGATTTGCAACATACTGGACTATGTTTTTCATCTATCATTAAAACTTTATAATGGTTAATGCTTTACCTTCTTCTGAACTGTATAAGAAACTAATCTGACTCGTTTAGCCACAACACCACAGGTTTCTACTTTTGTCAAGTTACAACTGTAGGTAATGTGAAGAGTATGACTACAAATAAAGGAGGTTCATTTGAGGTAATAGGCTCTCACTTATCTCTGTACTGTTATTAATTTTCTGTCTCCACTTCTCGTATCTTTCTGAAGCCTAAATGCGCACATAATGATACTTCCTCTGAATTAAACTATAGTGTGCATGTTCTGTTCTTCAATTATCACAACCTAAGATAGATACCTTTTCTGATTTGTTTGCTAGCTAGTATATATTGCTCTTATCAATATGATGCCTGTTTACTTGAGGGACACCAGAGAAAACTTGTTTGTTGCCGTGGCTTGTTAGAATAGTTTGACTAAAAAAAATGTATGAAGACATTGAAGAGTAAACATGTACTTGTTTATTTATTAGTTTTGGGAAGCTAATTAAGAAATTTTGTGGGAGTTAAAGTGAGAATTATCCTCTGAAGTTTAGGTAGTTGGCTTCCAGAAAAAAAGTCACTTTCAAATATTTAAAATTTGTGGTTCTATGAGAGCGCATTAGAGGGCTGCTGACGGCGTGTATTTGGAAGTTGAAAGTCTTCACTAGCTTTCAACAACTGAGACCGTTCCCAGGGCACATAATTTATGACTTTGGAATATCAAAGAAAGTTATCTAAGTCAGCAATAGATCACGCCAAATATTAAATTGCTATAAGCTAACAGTAGAAGAACAAGGCTAGTTTCTTCTCAGTTTGAACTACATTTGTGATAGAGAAAGATAAAGAAATTTTGAGCGGAAGTTTTAGCACACAATAATGAAGGGTGTTGAAAGCTAATTACTATGTGACGTGGACTGGGGCGGCGGTTCTGATTCGAAAGTAGAAGGCTCCCGAATGTGTTGTCTTCTTAAAATTGGAGCTTTCATCAATTATTACTAAAATAATAAGACACTAGTAAACCTATAAAATTTCTGATTAGTGACCCACGACAATCCTGCATCACTATGTTTATGAAAAAAGAATTCTACTGGGTCCATACCACGGGAGCCGTATATATACTTAAGAAAAAAAATTTACAGGGTTGCTGCATGTGCATCTGTTTATTAGAGTAAACCATAAACCAAATCTATTAAGATATCTCTATAATTTATTCGATACACCACTAGTCTCTTTATTATTATATTTCTTTATATATTTGTTTACTTGAGAAGATACACCACTAATCAACCATTTTGTTACCTTCTTAATCAAACAAGAACTGCGTATGGTATATACCAAGACAAGAGACGAATAAACAAATGAATACTATTCTATTAATCTCTCTGTACAACAACTACACATCACACGAATATACAATAACTAACTTTAAAGAAAAGAAAAAGAAAAATCTATTCTCCAGGTTTCTTACACTCCATCTCATCATCATCATCATCATCATCATCAGAGGGTGGCAAGTTCAAATCCAACAAAACCACCCTCTTCCCTTCATTATTGGCCATGATCTTCTTCACAAATGCTTGCCTGAAGCCTTCACTAGCCCTTCTATGCCTTCTCATATGCCCACCCAAGGCCTGCCCAATTCCAAACTCAAGCCCACAAATCGAACACTCATGGGCCTTGGGCTTATTACCACTGGCTAAGCTCAAATCCTTATTGCTATCATCAACCGATAGCTTCGGTTTCTTGTGGCTGGCTCTGTGGCCGCCGAGAGCTTGGAATGAAGGGAACCGGCGATTGCAGGTCTTGCACTCAAACAGGCGACGTTCGTCGGTTCGATTCGTCGTGCTTGTTTTGCTGTCGTTGTTGCTTTGAGAGAGTAGCATAAGAACATTGGCCATGTTGATGTTCTCTAGCTCTCCAAGTGAATTGGAGTATCTCTTCATGTTTTTGAAGTTTGTAATTGTATGTGCTGAGAGTATTGATGAAGAAGAGAATGAAGGATGAGAATATGGTGGGTTGGCTTTTATAGAGGTTTTTCTTAGACAGCTTGGACTTGTCTTTATTTTGACTTCTCTGCATGGGTTATTATAGAAGTAGCCAATTCTGTAGAGTTTTCTTGTCTTTTTTTCATTTTTTTAAATATAAAAATGACCTTATTGCTGACAGTTTATAGTTAAAGATGTGACTGTGTTTTTCGTTTTCTTTGTTTTGGTAGCTTTCTTTTATTCTTATCTCTAAGATATTTTATACTGATTTGGATTTTTTCTCCATCTCGAAGATATCGTTTTAATCATTAGAAGATATCTTCTTTTGTAAGTATCTCACAATTTTGGTTATATGTCATACTTATGATAGGGCAATATGCCCTATTTTCCATCAAAAAAAAAATCTAGCTGAGAGAAAGTTATCCGCAATTGATCCTACTTTCACATCTAGATTTATAATATTGACCATTTAAATCAGATCAGATGTTGATGGAGTTCGAATAACCACCCATTTATTTAAACCTATATTACACAAATTTTTTTTATTTGATTGGGAAATTGACGCGTACAGTCTGAGCTTCTGGTGAATAGAAAGAGCTCCAACGAGTAGTTGATGAAGCAGCCACGAGTCAAAAGTCTAGAAATTTGGTGGTTTTCAGAACTAGAATTTTCCTTGGAACTCTCTTCACCTAAATTATATATTACTTGCTTATCTGTGTGGTTTTGAATACAATGGAGTAACACGTGCTTATCATTGGCTACTTTGTACATTTATGATGTTGTCTAAGTCTGCTAACAACCTCTTGACACCTGTCAATAGATATTTGTCTCTAAAGTAGATGTAAACTACATAGCACAAAGTAGATAGCCTTAATTAGCTTTCTTGCACAAGAGTGCAACAGATATTCAAAATGAGACAAATAGTAAATAAGTCTGCTAGCGAGCAACATTATTCTTGAAGGCTCATGGCACCAAAGTAGTGAGGGAGACATCGGTTTATAATTTTACATTCTAATGCATTTTTATAGGTTGAGTGTTCTTTACGGGTTATATCTGAACTATTTTAGTACCGCTTTAGATGTGTATGATTGCATTTGACTATGAGTTGCGTTGATATCATCTTAGAATCTCTTTCACTTTCACTGTACTAAAATCCAGAAGCGATGATAAGAACTTAGGGATATAATTTTATTTATAATACATATGTGGTTGGTGTGCGAACATGGTTGATTGAAATTTTGCATGGCCTGTATTATTGCAGTTGATTTTTTTTTCTTTAAATACCTCTAGTTAGATTTATATTATCTTTATCTATTATATTGTTTGTGTATCTGCATGGTCTGAATACAATAGAGGAACATGTGCTTATAATTGGCTCTACTTCGTTCGTTTATTTAAGAGTGCTAATAAACATTTTACACTTGTCGACAGATGTTTGTCACCAACTTACATGTGAACAATATCTAGGCCAAAGTAGATAATGTTAGTTTGCAGTAGGCAGAGGGTAAACGAGACTGCTAGCTAGCAACATATTCCTTAAAAGTCTCTTGTGGCAAAATTTCAAAATTACGGTGAGAACAATTTTGCATTCTAGAGCATGTGTTTGCAGGCGTAGCATCAATTTAACTATTGAAATCTGAACTATTTAGTGCAGTGGTACCTTTTCTGAATCCATTTTAAAATTGTACGTATCTGATACGATTTGAATCTCCATCTTAATGTGTTTTGCGTAATACCAAAACTTCGATATTGTGGGAAGACTGAGGATTATGTTTCGATATTCTTAATGGTTATGGTTGGTGTGCAAACATGGTTGATAGAAAATGTGCAATTAATAGTTGTATTTTTGTATTTGGTTGTTTTGTTACAACTCTAGTACATTTTTAGAGTCTATTCACCTGTGATATGGATTGCTTATCTGTTTGGTTTGAGTACAGTACAGGAACATGTGCTTATAGTTGGCTATTTAATTTTTTTAGTTAAAAGAGTTCCATGTATCTAAGACTGCTAACCACCACTTGATACTTGTCAATAAATGTTTGCCTCCAAAGATGTGAACCATCTAGCACAAAGTAGATGAGCTTAATTTCCTTGTACAAGAGTGTAACAACGTATTGCTCAAATTTAGACAAATATTAAATGAGAATGCTAGCCAGCAGCTAGCATATAAAACTCTCTCATATTGCCAAAATTCAATTTACAATAAGGATTGACGGTTATAATTTTATATTCTAGAATATCTTTGCAGACCGAACATCCTTTTCATACATTGAAACCTTAACTCGGTTATAATTTTATATTCTAGAATATCTTTGCAGACCGAACATCCTTTTCATACATTGAAACCTTAACTATTTACATATCATTGTCTTTTTGACCGAACATCCTTTTCATACATTGAAACCTTAACTATTTACATATCATTGTCTTTTTCTAAATCTGCTAAAGCGTTTCCGATAGCATTTGGATCTGAATTGTTCTAGTCTCTTGTATTGTATCGAAACTTCGAAGTTGTGAAGAGTAATATCCTAACACATATCACATATGTGTTGTTGTGCAAGCATGGTTGATTGAATATGTGCATGACTTGTATTCTTGCAACCGCTGTCTTGTTTTGTGATAACCCTACTAGATCTTTTAGTAGAACCCTCTTCATGTGTTTTCTTAGCTGTGTGGTTTGAGTACAATAGAGGAACACTTATCATTGGCTACTCTTGTTAGTTAAAAGAGTAAACATGTGACTAAGACTCATAACAACTCCTTGACACGTGTCAATAGATGTTTGTCTGCAAATTAGATGTGAAACTAAATAGGACAAAGTAGATAAATCTTAGCTTGTACAAGAGTGTAACAGGTGTGAAAATTCAGGCAAATGGTAAATGAGAATGCTAGCTAGCAGTATATGTGGTTGGTGAGCGTATATATTTGATTGAAAAGGTGAATGGCTTGTATTCTTGCGTCAAGGATAAGTAATTACTTAGTATGTTATTGTCTGAGTAGTAGTAGTTTCTTGTTAGATTTTTTGTTTGCTGTATAAAGTGAGGGTTATACTATATGGAAATTATGTTCCCAATTGTTTGCAATCCCTAATGTGAGGGTGTGTTTGGTTCAATTTCTACAAATTATAGAAAACGTTTTCCACCCAAAATATGATTTCCTTATATTTCTTAAAAAAATTATAGGAAAAGTTTTGAGAAGTCAAAAAGTACCAATTTTCTTGTTTTTTTTACTTTGCTTGTTTGGTTCAAAACAAGAAAATGACCCATAAGTTTATGAAAATAGAAAGATTTTCTATAATTTATAGAAATTGAACCAAACACCCTCTAAATTTATAGAAAAGTGTCAATGTGATGTTAGATTTCTGGGTGATTTCCGCCCATTTTAAGAGGAAATTGATTTCTGTAAATTTTGGTACTTTACAGAAAATATTTCTATAATTTTTTTTAACCAAACACAATTTACAGAAATCTACAGAAAATTTTTAAGTACAGAATCGCCATTGTCAGATATTTTGAAAAAACTTTTCTATAAAATTGTGCAACCAAACACCCCCTATGTCTCATAGTACAGAAAATGAATATGCATTAATTCCATTTTATATGATAGGGTTTCCTTTTTCTTTATTTGGTCATGCCTTCACTGTAAGAACTCATCTAGATCCTTTGAATTGATATGAGGAACAAGTACTTTCTCTTGATGTTCTTTTAGCTCTGAAGTCAAATGAATAAACAAAGGAGCTTAAGAAGCTAATTAAGCACTTTAGTCAAACTGGAGGAGCCAGAGGGCTCAAGTAACTCAAGACTTAAAACCCTGATGTTCTGCCAGCGCATTGCAGCATCATATCTTGCGTTGGCGTTTGAAAATCCAATCTAGAAGAAAACTTGTGGATCCTATAATCACCCTGATTAAGCTAACTACGTCATCCAATGCAATGTTAACGTCCTCAGTGATGTAATGTTTGGTGGATTAAGAGATAATGATAACCAGTAAGAAGGAAAAAGAAAAAGAAAAAGAAAATAAAAGAAAAGATAATGATAGTTTCGGACAAATTTTCAAAACCATCCCTTTTTAAAATTTATTTATAAAAAACGACCCATTTCAATCTTAATTTCAAAAACCGACCCAGTTGGTTGAAACTGGGTCGGTTTTTGAAAAAAAAAATTTCAAACTTCACGGGAGTTGAACTCCCGTGAAGTTTTGTTATGAGAAAAAACTTCACGGGAGTTCAACTCCTGTGAAGTTTGAATTTTTTTTCAAAAACAGACCCAGTTTCATCCAACTGGGTCTGTTTTTGTAATTAAAGTTAAAAAAGATCTTTTTTGGGGAATAAATTTCAAAACCGGATGGTTTTGAAAATTTGTCCTGATAGTTTCTGATTGATTCGGTTGCCCTTTGCTGCATCCAATCTCCTTTCTCTCATATTTTAAAAGGACTTTTTAATCTATATGACCCTATCTATCATATTTGAAATTTGAAATTACAGTTCACAGTTTCAAGTTCAATTTTTTGGACATATTATTAATACCATGCTTTATGGAAAGTTATGTCAGAAATCCCATTTACCACATCAAATTCAAATCCCATTTACCACGTGTCCGTCAATTATTAATCTCGTTCTTGTTCTAACCCTAACAGCATAATTTCCTAGTTAATGCTTGTACAAAAGTTTAAACAAATTATAAAAGCCAACTTAAATTGCTAGGATATATACATCATAGTTTGCAAAAGGAAAACGATTCAAGCAAGCTTTCCATGTGCTAATTTGCTTACTTCACGACTTAGATCACATTACTTTAGTAAAGAAAAACTGGTCACGCGCATCAAACAACTGTAATGTTAATATTAACTTTAAATTTAGTTGGGTGTTTGGGGTGAGGCTTATTTCTTAGTCAAACTAACTCTTAAACTAGCTTTTTTATTTCTATTTGTATAGTAAAATGCCTAACAAGTTAGCTTATAAGTCTCATTTTAAAAAGCTGGTGTACATCACCTTTTGAAAAACTAGCTTATAAGTTCATTTAAACAAAACTATGTTTGACCAAACAAGTTACTATTCTACTCAAAAACAAATCTTACACCATTTTTATCCAAAAAGCCAGAAGTGACTAAAAACTAGCATAACTTCCAAAGGCCCTACTGCTTAAATACAATATCTTGGCCTCCTCAGTTAGTGTTAACGGGCATTCCAATATGGCCTTTTTCTGCGTGAGTGAATCTTAAGTGGGCTCACCCGAAGTAAAGCCCAGTCTTGTTTCGGCCTATCATGAGAAAACAAAATTACTTGTTTTGGTTTCTCATGAGCTCAGCAAAGGGCTAATTGCCAACATATCCCTTGTAGTATTATCTAATTGTGATTAGACCTCATATAGTTTTATTTTTATAAATTGCCCTCTTGAGCGAATTTTTTTAACTTTTAAAATCATTAAAAAGTTTTGAGTGGTCAAGTCGACCTTCTATAGCTCTATTGGTGAGAATAGACCCCACAATTGCTTTTTTTTCACATTTAAAAGAGTAAAAGAAATTCACTTAGAGGGTATACTCACACCTATGCCAATATTATAGGGCGTCTATTCACAATTGAGTGATGCTATAGGGGTTCTATTCACAATTAACCCAAAAAGAAACTTAAATTGTGAAAGAATAATAGCAAAATAGATCACAGATGCGTACCTTGAGCGCAAAGCCTTCTAAGCGTGTCTATTTTTTAAAGTAATAGGATGGGAAAGAACTTGAGCCTTCAGCCAAATAAGTACATGATTGTAAAGTCCATACTTTTGGTGGAGTTAAATGATAGAGGCACACCCTCGGCACATCTTCGGCTACACTCCCCTCTAGCTACAGTACTGGAGGCGCCCCACTTCACTATAGCTAGAGGGGGGTGGCCGGAGGTGTGCCCGAGGGTGTGCCTGTAGCGCCGTCCTTTGGTGGATGAGGCTCAGGGTCCAATCTCATCTCATCCAAAAGAAAATATTTCAAACTTACCCTAGAAAACAAAATGCAATTATTTATCCATTATTTTAAAGAGGCCAGGATGGGAGAGAACCTGAGCCTTTTAGCTGTCTAATTTCATAGCTTTTCATATACTTGTTTTACGTAAGGCTCAGAGTCTGATCCCATCTCATCCACTTAAAAAGTTTTGTTTACCGCTTTCGAGACAGGGTTTAGAGCAATATTTATAGACTTAAATTTCTCTAATTTTGAAAGAGGCGGAAGAATATAGAGCACACAATAAATTCATTAGATATAATTATATAAATATAGATTCTCATTATAAAAGCAAGCATGCCCACGATTGTAGAGATTTTGTGAAATGAACTCGGTCCTTGATGAAATTATGAAAGCATGAGAGCATGCATGCCTGGGAGAGGAATTCCTTCGTAAAGCATTGGTGCTATGAACATGAAGGGCCTAAAATCTTATAAAATATATTTTTAAAAAAACTTGTGGTTATGTTAAGGCACAAAGATTCTACGAATCATGTAAAACGAGGGGGATGAGGAATATGGGTATTTTTAGTACTAAATATCAATAATTTTGATTATTGGTACTAAGATGACTCATTCTCATCCACTCATTTTTAGGGAAGAGACAAATGATCTACCTTATTACAAGGACCAATTTTGTCATTGATACCAAATGGTACTCATTTTTTATGATATACATGTATATATATGTGTGTGCGCACGCGTGCGGGAAATAATAGCTAAAAGATGACAGTTCATTTTGCTAAATGAGCTATCAAGAATTAGCCATATGATGAGGCCTACATTGTTAGTGACATAAAAAAAATATGGATCTTACCATTTTATCTCTTAGTAGCTCATGTAGCAAAATAAGTCGCCATCTCATACCCATCATTTCATGTGTGTGTGTGTGCATACACAATTCGGAGTCCTTCTGTCATATGTACGCACACACAATTCGAAGTCCATCTGTCATATAAAATGAATATATATATATGGGAATTTGAAAAAAAAACCTTTTGTTTCATCATTTTGCATAATTAGAGCAAATTAGTAACTTGTTTTTCATCATTTTTCATAATTAGAGCAAATTATTAACTTGTTTCGGGTCTAGAATTTGCGAATTCTCCTTGTTAAGTGTTTAGAAAACTTTTTGTTTTGTTTTGTTTTTTGGGGGTATTTTTTTGATTGGTGCTGGGGTGTGTGTGGGTGGT